TTAAAAAAAAAAAATAGGACAAGGAAGCGGGGAAAGAGCTGTGAATAAACGCACTGGAAACCCTCTCCCTGGTAGCCCTTGGGTTCTTTAGCTGTCCCTGAGGTTCTGGTGATGATTTTGGGGTTGTTTTTTTTTTTGCTCGCAAACTTTTGGGAAGTAGTTGTGCTCTGGGTGAGTTTAAGGTAAGTGGCTGGGCTCTGCTGCAGAGCCTTTGTGTGTGCAGGAACAGGGGCACTGGGTTTTTCTCCAGGACAATTTGGGGCTTTTTATTCCTGAAACACCGAGGACGCTTTTCCCAGCGTTGCGTTTCTTTCCTCTGCTAAATATTTAATATTCCGGCAGAGACACGCTGAATTTTGCGTTGTTATTCGCTGTGAAAAAGATAAACTTTCAGCAAGTATTAAAGGAGATAATTRGAATTATTTTCCCCGGCTAATTTCAGCTCCAGGGTGGTGCGTGCTGGAATTCAGCTCAGTGAAACCTGGTTTAATAAACGTGTTTGTTGCAGAACATCAAAGCAAACGCGGGCAGGAGATTGTTCTTATCTCAGCTGGGGCCAAAATCCCAACAAATGTACCTGGAGAGGAGAAAAACTCGGTGACAACAGATTGTTCCCTGGCTCGGCTGACGATTGGCAGAGACAAACACCRGGACAATTTGGGAGGGTAATTGACGGAATGAAAAGGGTAATAATGAGGACATTTTTCATCCTGCAAATCCATCTGCTGGAAGGGACTCTGCCTGCCCAGCGAGTGGCTTGACAAGCTCGAACAATAAACAAAAGCGAAATGGGAAAGGAGCTTTGCAGTTATTGTGTGTGATTCGATAATTTCTGGCTTATTATTTTTAATTATTGCTCGATGGACTATTTAGACAAGGTGGACAAGCTGATTAATCACAGGCGGGTGGAAGCTGCCTTTAAAAGCTGCTGCGGTGGAAGTTTCCTGTTTTTTTTTTTTCAGGAATTAACATTGTTTTATCCGAAGTGGCGAGCGCAGAGAGCAGGGAGGATTTTTAGCGAGGATTCGAGCTCTTGTCTGATGATTTTTTCCTGCCTTGTGCTGAATCAAATCCCTTTTTTTTTTTTAGGAAATAATCTTTCCAAACATCTCTGCAGGGAGTGGAGGAGATGGGAATTTTGGGAGCGGAGGGAACAGACCCGGGGGAGGATTTTGGGGAGGTTTTTTCTCTCAAAATTTAAAGTATCTCTGTGGATCAGAGGGGTTGTGCTGAATGAAATTTTATTGATGTTTTGGGGGCTCTGGGGAGGGTTTGATCCCACTCCCCTTGGAGCCTGGGSAGGTTCAGCTCTGCCTGATTTGGGATTTGGGATTGGTGTTGGGACTCTGTGATGTCACCCTGTCCCCTCTGAGCTCCCACTGGTGCCTCTGTGCTGGGTGAGGAATCCAAGGAAAATCCAGAATCCYGGGAAAAGCTTTCCCTGCTCGTGGCAATGAGGGAAAACCGGGCAGGTTTGGGGTGTGCTGGAATTCCCTAAAAACAGAGGCATCGCCGCAGCAGAACTCTTAACTTTCATATCCAAACTGGATCAATTGTTGATCAGCGGCCTAAAATATGAAATTCCAGGTTTGGAATTCCTTTGGATTTATCAGGGAATATTTGCTCCGATGTTTTTGGAGGGCTGCTTTCATCAGGGCCGGTGCAGCTCCGTTAATTACAGCTTAATTACTTAATTACAGCTTAAAATATCAAAACAGGGCTGCATCCCACAGAAATTATCCCAYCTTTGGCTTTTCCCTCTGCAGTGTGAGCTCGGAAATCTCAGCCCGTTTTTGCTTTTCCCTTCCAGCACAAGAAGTTCAGATTTTCACTGATTTCTCTCCATCCCCTTTTCCCGGGTGGTCCTTGATCCCATTTCCTCTTCCATCTCATCCTGAGCTGTTGGACACCTCTGGCACGGCCTCCCCACGTCCCTTTTTGTCCCACATCGATTTATTTCCCAAAATCCCGGAGTTTCTCAGGCACATTCTGACCCGGTCTTATCAAAAAGCAGTGAGAAAAAAGGAGATAAGGAGCAGGAGCTGATGGGTGACGGCCTTTGGGCCTTTAATTGGAATTTAATTCTTTAAAGAATTGCCTTGAATTTTGTAAATTCGGCTCAGAATTCCTTAGGATTGGATTAATTTTGTAAATTCAGCTCAGAATTCCTTGGAATTGGATTAATTTTGTAAATTCAGCTCAGAATTCCTTAGGATTGGATTCATTTCGTAAATTCAAATGAGAATTCCTTGAAGTTGGGTAAATTTTGGAAGTTCCGTTTCTCCGGCCTATCGTGATAATAAATAACCACGAGACARCACACTGTGATTTAAGCTTTAAAACCCTGGGAATGGCTGAGAAAAAGGGGAATATCTACATTTCCCCCTTTTTATTTTTGTAAATTAAGTAACAGCAGCCTCAAGAATCTGAGTCAAGTACCTGAAATACATTCATTTTTAATTTCTGCCTAAAAAACACCCTCTGGAGAATAAAGCGAAACAAATTCCGGGGTTTTGGGAGGATAATCCCGGCCCTGGGGTGAAATGATCCCGATTATTTCCGAGCTGGGTGGCAGCGCTGGAGCCTGGCTGAGCTGTTAAATATCCTGGAATGGTGGGATTCATTTCCCACTCCCAAAAATCATCCCAGGAAGGTGAAACCAGTGGTGGAATCGGGATTAGGGTGAGATCAGACRTAGCAGAAAAGGAATTGAGAGCAGGGAGAAGCTTTTTACCCCTGGAAAAAACAGGTTGGGAAGTGCTGGAAAAA